TGTTATTTTCTCTAGTTATCAGTTACATAGTCATTTGGTTAGAATATTGTTCCGTTCGTGTGCGGAAGGCATTAGTGAATATAAAATGACACGCGACTAACAACAAACAACAAAAAAATATTTGGATATTAAGTCAAGTATAATTATAATCCATTGATACTTTTCAGAAGAGAATGCTGAGTGACATAATGACGGATTTTTTTTTAAGGGGGGAAAATCATCGAATGACTGCTCCCGCCTGGGTGAGGCGGAAGGGAGTGTCAGACTCTTACTGACTAAAAACCACCCCGTTCCTTCTCCTGCACGTCGAGCCGGAGCCCCGGTTACCCGTTAGGTTCTCCGCGACACATAATGACGGATAGGGCAACAACTAAGCCAGTAGTTTTATATTCAACACTAGCTACTTCCGCGCGGTTTCACATGCTGTGCTCAGCTCCTATTGGTCGTAGCGTGATTTTTATAGGCTAAACTATAAACTATAGCCTATAGCCTTCCTCGATAAATGTCCTATGCAACACAAAAAGAATTATTCAAATCAGACATGTAGTTGCGGAGATTAGCGCATTCAGACATACAAACAAAAATACAATCTCTTCCGCTTTATATAATAAAATATAAGATAAGAAGTATAAGATTACTTGTACATTTAGTATGGACCCCATTTAGTTATACATTCTGTGTGCATCCAATATTAACAAAATCTTTGAAATCTATTAATCTTTTAATATAGCAGCAGCAGCATATAATATATCTATAATTTATAATATTAAAATCGTTTGGATTTGGTTAAGTTTCCTGGACAGAAAAGATTGATTAATGTGCAGCATTGCTTGTTCATATACAATTTTCATTAGGATTTGGGAACTCTATATTCCCAAATCCTAATGAAAATTGTATATGCAGCCTTGTGGCATATAGTAAAATTTACTCATAATTCCTAATACACAGGATTCTATAACATAACAATAAGCTAAATACAGATAAGTGTGTGGCTTTTACTTTAAAAACCTAAAAGAATTGAAATACTAAACAGTTCTGATATTTACAGCTCATATGGAATATGTATATATAAGGACTTAAGTAAGGCGATATTGTAACATGCACTCTAAATAAACAAGCATAAAGGTCATGATTTAATGTAAACTGCTACTTAAGATTATGTTAAAATAAAAAAACAGTCTACCAATGAAATGGTAAGTGAACTAATATCTTACTAATGTGTTCAATGTCCCCGATGCGTGCACTTGGTGTGTTGTTCACACTCATATACTGGTGCTGGCTACTCATTGTCCCCGGATCTCATCAAGCTCTGGAAATTCATAATGGAGTCAAACACACTACATATGGTTAGAAAATTTGACAAATAAACTAAGGTCAAAAAGCTTATTTACTATAGCTATGAATTGATCTATTTAATACAAAATAAAAAGATATTATCAGTGCATATAATAATATTGTAGAAATGACAATTCTTTACATTAACTCGTTGAGTACCGTCATTATAGACACAATAATTATAGAACAATAGGTTGCGGTCACCGGTGACCGCTTGGTGTTTGACAGTTTAAACATATTTAAATAATAATTAGGGGGTGTTCCTACATCAATATAGAACTGAATTTTATTATTTGTCTGCCTTATGTTGTGCATGCATCACATTAAAACTACAGATTGGGCTCAAATAAGTTTTTTACAAAGTCTTCTTACAACTTAACATTTGGTGTATAATTTAAAATAAATGCATGTCAAGTTAAGACAGATTTCGGCAAGTAAAGCTGGCAACTTAGTAGTTAATATGATTATGATACACATTTCAATATTTATGTGTTAAGTAGTTTCTTAGAAACCTTTGAATATAAACTTTATCATAGTGTGATAGTGTCAGTAGGAAGTAAAGTAGATGCTGATGCAACAGCAGTTTATTTACACATACAGGGGATTCCCCTACAGTATAATATAATCAATAGAAATTGTAATCAGAGCTAACAAGTTTTATCAAGAAATTATTCTTGGTTGAAAAGGTTTTCTGTATAGCTCTCCTAGATACGTGTACACTAACACAACATACAAAGAATTATCTAGAAGTCATAATAATAAGTATATACTAAATATAATAATATTGTAGCACACAATCCAACTGTTTTTCAACTTATTGTTCGGAACAACTAATCTATAAAAGGGTTTACTACGTTCCTAACGTTTTAAAAATATTCTTTACTACACATACAAAACACTATAAAAAACAACTATACATACGCATTAAAGTTAATCCACGTCTATCAATAATGTTAATGTTTTCAGCTTAATATAAAAAATACACAAATTGATTATTTTTAAATGTATTTTGTTTTGTAAATAATTTTCAGAGGTTTTTGTTGCGAAATGCTCAGAATAAAAATATTTTTGATTGACAATATTATGACAGCACAGGAATAGGAATAGAGTTGTTATTTTTTTGTTTTGGAACTTAAGTATTCGCATCTGAAACAATGTATTTTAGCTCTTTTAATTATGGGCCAAGGTCATTGAAATGTAGGTGGATACAGTCTAACAACGACTGTGCAAAGAGTATATAAGTATATTGGCACTTGGCTACTGCCGTAGACATAGAATAGAGGAAAAATATATTCTCTATCTACGGCTACTACAGAGTTGCAAGCAGAACATAATTAATGATATTGGCACGAGGGACATCTGTCATTTTCTGAAGTCTGGTGACGTGATAATTACACGCACAAATTAAAAATCACTGATTCTCTTCTTATTAGTGTTTTAATATCACCTTATTGTAAATACCTACATTCTGAACAAATAAATAATTATTCCATTCTATTCTATTCTGACACTTTGGTGCTTCAAACATTTCTAGTTGACATCAAAGAATATAATAAATATAAGAATTGACATTATGTCCGCCTTATTTTCAACGTCCATGTAATGGACTTATGATTTTCATTACAACTTTAATTTTAAACATTTTAAAACATATTTATATTGTGACTTCGTGAGGAATAGGTACTAAACTAATTATGATATTTTTGGTTACATAATTATATAATTATTAAACAAAAACATGATGAGGAATTAGTCTATCGAATAGTTTCAAGCGAAAGCTATACATGTCTCATGATGAGTAAGACACAGCTTTAATATATATAATACTAATAATAATATTTTAAGAAACACATAGTTGAAAAAACCAAATGTTTAAAAGTATCACGTGGGATTTTAAAAATACTATGCCATTTATCGTGGTATTTTAAAAATACCATTCAAATCACGAATATAATTATATCCATGATTCCAATACTGTAAATATAAATTATACCATGAGGGGGGGGGGGGGAGGTTACAGAAAAACAATACTTGTGCGGATTAAAAATGAATTACCCAATCTGTGATAAATAAATTACAGTTATGTAATTAATTCAAACTAGGTGTTCTCTATATATAATTCATTTATTTATAAAAGCTTACATAAACTATCACAACCAATCGGAAAAAAAAAATGGATATATATATAGTATCTATGCATTTTCCGCTTCCGGTGAAAACCAATAATTTATTTTTGTATTATATAGATATGATATAAATTTAACACATTGACAACGATAGACCATTACATATTTTTAAATATTAAATAAAATGTGTCTTACACAATCATCACATCTATATGGCATAATTTCTGTTATAATCATTGGAAAATGTACTCTATTTCGTCCTACACAAGTTTCGTTGACTTGTTGTTTATGACATGAAATGAAACCTATATACATACATACTTATTTATGATGGCGTAGTAACCAAACAATGTCAAAGATAAACTAAAAATAACATGCAACTAATTTAAGAAAGAGTAAATGCGATATTTTGTTTACAAAAAAATATACTTTAGAACTTAGAATGTTCTTCACATTTTCATGAAACCATTATATATCTCTGCATACTTAACTGTTTAATATAAACTTATCTGTTGACTTTTTTTAGCTGAATAATAATCGGGCGCGAAAGCTTCGTCACGAAAATCACGGGTCGTGATTGGCGGAGAATTTAGTTAGTACCAACGTAACGAACGTCTTGAACATTTTGGCAATGTTGTCAGATTTATTACCAGTTGTGCTAGGCAGGTAAATATCGTCGCTTTAGTAAAGATATTTTATTTTTCTTTAATGGTTTTCAATGCGATAACGATGTTGTAATGGTTGAAAAGATACACGAAGAACTCGTCTCTGTGCTGAAACACCGGAATGTAAGTAATAAGTTTCTATTGCAGTGTTTCGTGAACTTTTTGTAGAAGGTTGTGGTTCTGTAAAAGTAGCTGCACAATTGATACTGATAGAGTGCGATATTCGCAAAAAGAAAAATATATGTAACGCATTTGATATTAATTTAATAAGTAATAATTTATATTATACTTTTTTCGTGTTTTTTTTTTAGTCAGCCTAGAAACTTTATCAATTCTCAAACATCAATGTACGCGACTGGTGCGTCTGTACGATATTTCATTTCGCGATATTTTATTTTTAAATGCATTACAGGTCATCATTAATGGATTGTAAAAGATAACTGAGTCTCTGTAATGAACTCGCTCACATTCTCAGCATTGAGAAATGGAGAGACAGCAATGTAATCCACTTCAAAACTTTGACGAACCTAAAACGGAAATTTTAAAAAAGAGATTATTAAAATCAGTGAACACGTCAGTGAGCACTAATTTACCACAAAACAGTCCGCAGCAGAATGTACTACTAAATACATTACGCGTGAGTTCCGAAAAAGTTAATTTTTTTTTATCAATGTGTTGTTACAATTTCATTGACAAATAAATATTTTATCTTTCAGGCGCCAATATCGAGCAGCATGATTGTGTCTTCAATGCAGGCCTCACAGAGCTCCTTACCTATAACACACAATTTAGTTACTCATTCCATTGCTCCTGTCAAGTTACATCCAAATAATTCTCCATATCCTTTGCAGCTGTCCACTGTGCATGTGCCAGTACAGATTCCAGGATCTACTTCCAATATTAATGTCCCTGTTCAAATATCAGGACCTACAAACACAGTCCCATTACAAATTGCACCTGTTAGCCTTCCTCTCCAAGTCTCGGGAACCACCAGTGTCCCAGTTCAGTTACCAGCTGGTGAGACCATAAATGTTCCGCTGCAGATTCCGACTGCCAATACAAATATTCAACTACCTACATTACCTTCCATGCCAGTTCTGCAGAACCATAACCAATCCCTCCACAGTTCAATCATTCAAGTTCACATGGGGTCAACAAACCCAAGGTCAACCAACATGGACTCTGAGATGACAGTGCCAAGTTCATCTCACCTACAGATTTCAGAAACAACTATTTCACAAGTAAAAGTCAACAATCCTCTTCCACAACAAGTGCAAGTGGCACATAACAATGCCATGTTGCAGATGCAAAATGCTGCAAATTCTATTCAAATTAGAGGAGCACCGAGGCAGGTGCCACATGTACCACATGTGGTCTACATACAAACTCCAACTGGACTGAAGCCTGTTTCCAGTACTGATGTCATCACACAAGCAAGTACAAGTGGAAACCCACCACAAATCATAGTAAGGAGACCAGTAAGTGAATCATCACCATTAACAGGCATTCATGTAACAATTGGAGCAATTACAACTTTCAATAAATTTTTAGTAACTTAGAAAATGGTAGCAAAAGTTATGAAGTATTTGTGTGAAAAACCTGTTTATTGTGATTATTAATTGGCTTATCAATTTATATAGTTATCAATCAATTTAATGTACTAATTCGTGTTTAAAGATAAACCTTGCAAAATTCTCAATGAATGCACTTTCACTCACACTATTACAAACATAATGGTGGTGGTTTAGTCATAAATTTATGTATTTTAGTTTTCTTGTTTTGGCTTCAAATTACTTTTTAAATTATTTGTTTCATTCCAAAATTCAACTACATTTGCTTAGTACTTACTGCTCAAGGAAAAAGCAAAAATGTCTCAACTCTGAGAAAAACAACATTATGCCTAATTATTATTCCTCTAAAGGTTAAACATGGCTCAGAGTTTGAGTCAACACTATTTTATGAAACCATAACAATACCATATTAAGCAGATACTTGAAAATGAGTAGGTCTATAACCCTACATAAATTTTATGGTTGAATTTTGGGACAATTTGCATTATATTTGTAATTATTATTTGCAAGTGTATAAATTTCTTAATGTAAAGTTATTAGTAAATTGTATTAGTACTAGTCTGTATAGTGAATAAAACACTGTTGCCAATACTATTCAATAATATAATTATTCTTGTAACTTGCGTTTGTGGAAAAGTTTTATTCTTTTGATAAGCTAAAAATTTAGATCATTGAGTAAAATATTAAACATAACTTAATATTGTTTAACTCGTCGAGCACCATCATTATAGACACAATCAAAGAACAATAGGTTGCGGTCACCAGTGACCGCTTGGTGTTTGACAGTTTAAATTGAAGCAATTGTAATTATGAATCATTATAAATTGGTATAATGCTTTATGGTTTAGACTAGTTTTGCAAACTCTTGATTTATGCTTTTCGTAGTGTACCAGAGGTGTAATAATAACAAAGTTATTTTCGTTACAGGTAACCACAAATTCAAATTTACATTTGATATCAAATGTAAACACCAAACCTAACATAGCACCAAAAGTGAATGTACAGAACAAGTCTTCTATCTTGGCTCCAGTCAATGCTAGTCAGCCAATAGTGATACAGAAACCAAAGTCTAATAACGACAAGATGATGGTGCCAGTCAGCATTGCACCCAGCAACCCTAGCAAACAAGCCATAGCTTATCTCTCAGGATCTATGAAAAAACCAAATCAGAAGAACTTACCAGAGAATCAATCTATCCTGATATCCAACAATCAGTCTAATGTAAACGCCAACAATCAGAAATTGTTCATAACTCCAATGAACATGCCTAAAATTCAAAATACTAAGTTCATTTTGCCTGTAACATTGCCTGCAACAATGGCTTCCAAAGGACCCATTATTAATTTGCAAATAGCTAATGGGCAAATACAAAATGATCCACAAGGAAATATTACAGTAATGAGAGACACTGCTTTGGATTCCCAAGACATGCCACCTTTGCAACCACTTGGAAAAGTTATTATGAATGGTAAAGATGTGCCACAAAGCCCAAAAAATGATAAAGCTTTTACATTGTCAATACCTGGGTCAAGAGCAGAACCAACAGGTGAACAGGGAGAATATACACTGTCGATACCTGAAACAAATTCTGCCATGAACGATGACATCTATACTGTGTCTATTGCAGATGATGATGGTGGCCATAGAGAGAAATCATTTACTCTAGCTATACCAGAGAAAGGCAAGAGTTTGTTAAATAGAAACATGGTTGAACGACATGAAGTAGGGACAGTTAGTATAGCTGCCCCTGCGATTTTACGACGATCAAACTCTGACAACAGCGATAGAAAGACAGCGAATGCAAGTATGAAGCGCCGCATATCCTTATGTGCAGAAAACTTATCTAACAGGAATAGAATGCCATTGCCACTGCCATTACCCAAAATCGAAAAAATTGAGGATCCAGCAGAGGCTGAAAATAATGATGATCATCGTGTACCCTCCCTGTTCTGTGATGAAAAATTAGACAAAGATCTAGAGGCTAAACATTTGGATTCAGATTCTGAAGATTATAAAGAAACTAAGCCTGATAATCTCAAAGAGGCAAATACCCATGAAACATATTATCCTAAAATTGAGGATTTCAGTAAAAATGATACCAAAGAAGGCATTTTAGAAGAGGATCCCCCAGGTCTTATATGGAATAATGGAGTTGCTAGATTACAAGGCAGCACTCTTCAATTTCAGACCAATGAGTTTGGGCTCATAGACTTGCTAGATGGCAGTGATCGGGAAGAAGTGGGTAACCATTCAAAATACCAAACCCCGGCAAAGCCACGAAACAAAAAACCCCTCTCTCCTGAAGATTTGTTCCGCTGTGAATGTTGCGGCTGTCATGGCATGGCGGCAGAGTTTATTACCCCCACGTTCTGCAGTGCTGCCTGCCAGTCTGAAGTAGAAAAAGCCTTACAAAAGAAAAAGGATAGGGAACGTATTGACTTGGTCAAAAAAAAGAATAAGATTAAGAAGTTGCTGATGAGGAAGCAACTGTCAGAATCTGATATTCCTACAGAAGCTAAAGAAGACAAAATATTGCTAAAGCATTATGATTCAATGCCAGCTGACCAGCTATCAGAGGCTGCATTACTGAAAATCAGCGAGGATTTAGTGGAAAACGAGAAGTACCCCTGGATGTGTGGAAAGAATGGCTTCTCATGGATGCGATACCTCGATATTTGTAAAGCAAAAGCTGCTCCTGTTAAACTCTTCAAGAACCCATTCCCTTACACTAGAAACGGATTTAAAGTTGGAATGCGACTAGAAGCTATAGATCCACAGCATCCTTCACTGTTCTGTGTCGTTTCTGTTGCTGAAGTACAAGGATACAGGATACGACTTCACTTCGACGACTTCCCAGATGTCTATGACTATTGGGTGAATGCAGACTCTGTGGATATATTCCCCCCCGGCTGGTGTGAAAAGAATGGGCGGTCATTGAAGCCGCCGGGTAAAATGTCTTCGTCTAGTTTCACGTGGCCGCTGTATTTGAAACAGTTGAGAGCAGTCGCCGCACCTAGGAACTTATTTCCACATATAACAGCTGCGGTAAGCTACTTTTATTTTCGTTACAGAATTTTGTTTATAATTATCAAACCCCTAAAAGAAAGTTAACATCACAATGATTGATTCTGCTTTATTTGGTAATACTCTTTGGTTCTTGATTAGTAAAATTATTAATTAAAGTGTGTAATCCACTTTTTGCTTGAAAATAAATTAGAATTGCCTACCCTACTAAAGTTTACAAAAATAATGACATTAACAAGTCACACAACTCGTTACAATTTTTAATTTATATTGTTAGGTGTTCAAACCACACTGTTTCCGTGTGGGTATGAAGTTGGAGGCTGAAGATCGCAAGAATGACCTAGTATGCGTGGCGTCCATTGCTGACGTCTTGGACAATAGGATGCTGATCAACTTTGACTCTTGGGATGAAATGTACGACTTCTGGGTGGACCCGACCTCACCCTACATACATCCTGTAGGATGGGCTGAAGAAAACGGAATCCCTTTGACGCCGCCCAATTGTAAGTACTTTTTAATTCACTTTTTATTAGTATTCAATGCAAGTTAGCGCCTGTTTCCGTACTAATGATTATGTTTATGTTAGCTTAACTGACACATTTCTTATAGAAGATACTTTAAATTCGTTAGTTATTTAGTTAAACTAATGGATATTTAAAGAGGAGCAATTAGACAGGACTCTTGTGTTATAATATGATCCTATTGGTTAAGTGGTAGCGCGAATACCAAATGGTTCTGAATAGGTCGAACAAAGTACCATGATGGGTACTGGGAGTTTTCTAAATATATCTGTAATAACACAAAATTACTATTGCTATTAAACTTAATACACCTGTTCCTAATGCAGAAAAGTGTATACTCCTGAAGGAAATTCTTAAGTACCTAATAATTTTACTACACTCAATTGCCCCAGATTGTACCATATTTAGGCCATAGCAGAATCTTTGACAATCTTATGTTGCACTTGTATTCTTAATAAAAATAATAACTCATTAATCACTACTAGTTACTGTTTTACAGAAAGTTTATTGTAAGCAAAAAATAAATGTGCCACATTTCTTAGAATTATGCTTACTCTAAGAAAGAATGCAACTTTAACAACTTTGATTTGAGTTTGTTACAATACACAGGAGACAGGAACACATAATTATATAAGATTAAAAAAATAATCAAATCAAGGGAACATTTTACAAATATTTTTCATATCTTCTTCTATCTTGATTTATCTTGATATAAAAAGTTAAAAAAGTAGATAGCCATATTTATTTTACACATCGCAAATTAATTCCGCCATAATTCTTAATAGCTTAATTAAAAATTCAAACATAGAGTCGTGAGCAACAAGGATAACCGGTAGTTTGGTTACGTCGTTATCTGCTCGAAACTACACGAGTTAGTCATGTCGAGCCGTTTGTGTGTGACTGTCGTGCCTATTGTTGTCTTATGAATATAAGTTAGATCGCGGACATTACTTATATGTCCCATTCTACATTCCGTACATACAAATGTCAAATATATCTTTATGTAGCACTCTAAAAACAAGTAAGTTTATCGTGTAACAATCTTTTTATTCGATTATTATTCGTATTTAGTAGCAATAACTAATTTCACGGATATATATTATGATATAGCTTTTCTGAATACATAATTCCCGAATAAATAAATGACATTTATTCGGTACTATAGACAATAACGTATTTCATTAGCAGAAACAAGTTTTTCTCTTTGTTTTTATTATTTTATACATAACATCAATTCTATAGTATTATGTTTCACCAAGACAGTCATTACAATATGTCCCCACTTAGCAGCCAATTGATATTACATTGAATGCCACATTCTCTCATTGAAATGCGTAGCTCTTATCAAAGCCACATATTTACTCGTCGGCCGTCGCTCAACATCTAGGTGTAAAATTAGGTAGCCCAAATTCCACTGATAAAATGTTATTGACAACTTTAGTTTATCCATGTTACTTATCTATGTTTTCTATTTATTGAACTATTCTATGTTTAAAAGAGCTTGTTGCAGTTTATTATCTTTTATTTATAAGTAGTTATTATTTATGTTTTTATTGTTGTGCCTCTGTCTATTTGAAGTGTTCTAGACGGGTGAGTATCTGTTGGTCTGATAAGTTGGTAGATAAAATATGTTAATTAAGGGCTGGACACTTATTACCATACCATTTTATTGCATGCCATTTTATTCAGACAATAAATTGGTTTATTTTGTAACAACCACACTTTATTATAGTCCATGTATCCTACTACATAATTTTCCTGCTTTAAAGGACAGTCTGTGATTACTGCGTCGTTGTCAACACATTGTCAACACATCCGATAACACGATTCCATCGTCATCATTAGCCTGCTTTTGTTCATTACTGGACATAGGGCTCTTTAAAGACACATATACCTATTAAAATTGCTTACACCTTTGGCTAAACATTACAAAAAATCCTACAGTTTACAAAGATCCTGACACATTTTCGTGGGAGAACTATTTGGCGGAGACGGGAGCATCTCCGGCACCATCACGCGCCTTCAAGCCTCGGCCGCCCCAGGGATTCAAGCCTGGCATGAAGCTGGAGGTGGTGGACAAAAGGGTAAGAGGATCGTCACCAACTGTTTGTTATAGGTACATAGTTTAAGCTAATACTCATGCTTGTGCATAAACCCAAACTATAAGATAACGTTTGGATGATTGTCCAAGTTCAATAGGTCATAATCATAATATATAAAATATTAAAGTCTTATAATTTGATGACAGGTGCCTTTCCTCATCCGAGTGGCCACGATCATTGCTGTAAAGGGGCACCAAGTGCAAGTATCTTTCGATGGCTGGCCAGAAGAATTGGCGTGCTGGTTCGATGATGATTCCCCAGACTTGCATCCAGTTGGTTGGTGTCTCAAAACAGGACATCCACTAGAACCACCACTCAGTAAGTATCTATTACAACTTTGTTAGAGTGATAAGAAATTGGTTTAATGTATTTGCCTATTTCGGACAATGCCCTATGTCATTAGTTACTTGATACAAAACTGATGTTAATATTTGTTTACTACAGCTGCAGAAGAATTGCGGATTGTGGGTCCTTGCGGCGTGGGTGGATGTCGCGGGCTCGGGTCTGTGCGTGGTGGCGCGCACAAGCACCACGCGGCGGCCTCCGCCTGCCCCTACCGAGAGCCACCATCGCGCGCGCCCGACCGCCTCGCCGAGCGGGACGCTGACCACGCTCTACCTAGGGAACGCAGGTACATATACATTTTAATTATTAACTAACAAATGTTACTAATATACTATTTAATTTATTATATTGTTATAAGAATCTCCCAATAAATATAATCAATTTCCTGTTTAGAGTGCTCACCAAACAGCCCAAGGCAAACTCAATACACACGAGTACTCCCACTAGCGATACTAAAGAGAGGTGAGGGTCATATTTTATATAGGAAAGCTTGTGTTTGGTTTTATGTGTACCATAAAATAAAACCTTTTTATTTTTGTAGACCAAGAGGCAGGCCCCCGAAACATAAGCGCATTGAAGAAGTTGCCAAGAATGATCCGGTATGTATAATTTTGTTTATATTCTGATATTTCTTGTATAATAATAATATAGTATAACTACATATCTTTATGTTTGGTCTCATAACAGATTTTAAATAGTTTTAAATTTGTGATTTTAATTGGAATGTTATTGTTCGACAGGGTTCGGACGACGACTCGCTGTCGAGCGGTGGCGGCAAACGATGGCGCAGCGGTCGGTCAGACACACGCACGCTGCGCACGTACTCGCGCGCCTCGCTGTGCGCGCCCGACCGCGCCTCGTGCGTACCCGCGCCGCCGCCCGCCCCGCTCCGCGACCATCTCGCCACTCACCTCGCCGCGCACCTCTCAGCACTCGCGCTACCACATGATCCTACTATTTGGACACAGGTAATTTTCTCTTTTTTATGTTGAAGCATTTTGTTTTATAATATCTTTAGCTTCTATTATATCTATAAAAAATAGTAGAAATGCTACTTTTTATGCTTTGTACCATAATGTCTGAAGTGTGTTGACCTTGGATGAAATAATAATTTCAGAGCGACGTGGTGGCATTGGTGAGTCGGATAGCTGGCGAGGCGGCGGGCGCGGCGGCGGCGGCTGCGCGGCTGTCTGGCGCGGAGCTGGTGATGGCGTCGCGTGACGAGCTCGTGCAGTGCGTGCGCCTGCGCCTGGGGCCCGCCGTCAAGATCTACAGCGCCATACGACAGCTCCGCGAGAACTATACGTGATCGCGCGCCATCGCTAGGGCCATCCTCATGCTCGTATGAAGCGATGTGTGCCGCTAGTGACGTGCCATACCTAACGTACCAAACTAACTGTGTATATAATGCTCAACTCTGTGTTGCTAAGTTAACCTTGTGCTCATTGTGTTATATGAAAGACCCTCGAAAACATTTAAAATCATATAAAACTGAGTGTTGCACATTCTAAAGTTAATTTCTATGGTGTCACATTGATGATGTAGTGTATTATGTTTGTTACCGTTATAGGGATGGGATGGATTACGAGTTTAGTTATTATGATTTCGTGCTCATTTATATATTTGCAGCATTAATTGTGTTGAGTAGTTTGTGGAAATTATGAGATATTGCTTTATTGGCCAAATTAGATTTCATACAAGTGCTTGGTCTTAGTATTTGTTGTGACTGTTGTAATATTTAAGAATTTAGTCTAATAAAGCTATATTATTTTTAAATTACAATTCTCAGCCAATCAAACAGAATGTATCAAAATTTTGAAAATGAGTAATGTGTACCATAAGTTATTGATTTGATTGTTTGTATCAAGCAATATTTAATAATACATATATTATATTTTAGCACAAAACACTAAGATTTAAATGAGGCTTTAATTGCGGAGGTTGTGATTGTATGCAATCTTAGTGTCGTGACTTTGAATAGAAATTATTTAGGAAATTTATAATAACATCTACATTTTAGACAACGGAGATCAAAATGTATCTATCAAAAATTAATGTGTTATTTTTTTATACATGTGGGTGTAAACAATTTGTAAAAGCTGTCTATCAATATACAATTATAATAAACCAGCTTTTCTTGGTACCATAATTAGTAGGACACTTACTACTTACCTACTCTAATATAATACATGTCTGATATGATTTTCCATATATATATTGCTAAAGTATTTATCTCATGACAAGAATGAGAAATGGAATAATAATATTTGTTTCTTAAAATTACACTACACCCTAGCATTATTAATGTCTGTAGTTTATTTGATAATTGAATATCTGAGCAGTTTTTTAAAGGACACAATGTTGTATTTTGTAAATATTAAGACCATGTACATAATATTTAGTGCAATGTAGTGTTAATGTTATTTTTACTTTGTCACCTCTTTGTAATGTCTTAAATACAGAAACGTTTTTAGTTCATTTAAATAGACAGTCTTTATTAGTCAGTGTTAGTTGAATATTACTTAATAATTTATGAAATATCTCTTCGAGTTTATTTTAAAGAGTTAGGAAATTAGTTATAGACAAGAATGGAATTTTATTTGGTTTTAACAATCATGTATTGTTTATTGTCTAATCTAAATTAATAGAAAACTAAAATATGTGTTTTATTAACAGTGATGTAGGCAAATATAAGACTTGTTGAAAGATGATGTGTTAATAAACAGCTAATGATGGATTAGATCTAAAGTGTAAAATATTTATTTTGAAAGTGTCTAGAAAATATGTATTGAAATCCAAATTATTTTGGGTTACTTTTTATTTTTACAAAGAGTGTCCCTATGCTTTCAAGGGAAATTATATTTGTGACTATTTGTAAATATTATAATAGGCTGCTGTAATGTTTTCTAAAGCGCCACATTTGTACATAGTGCTGCGTACGGATATTGATGTAAGTTTTTACACAATGACGACTAGTTAGTATTATAGTGCCATTGTCTTTGGCACCAAATATTTTATTGTTACTCTGTAATTTAATAAAAACTCTGAAAGTATACAGGTATTTTCTTTTGCGTTTTTTTTCGTACAACCAAATCGACAGCCATGTGGCTGTCCATTCCCCTATACTTATTATACTCTGGTCCATTGGCTGGGCAGCCTAAAGAGTATATTAAGTTTGCCCATACCGCCGCCAAACAAACAAAACAGATAATGACAGATATGTATTTTTTTTATTAAAAAAATATCTGATTAGCACACTACCGTATCTATGTGTATTTAAAATTAATCAGCCATTATCATAATAAATAGTAATTTAAATATAAAAGATCAGAGAACAGTCAAACTTTGTTGGACTTGGACATTGAGCTCGACCGGAGTGATACCATACCACGGACGTACTTATAGCTTACACACCCACTGATAGGTTAGAAGTTGGTGCCACAAATCCATAATCAAATATATCTTAGGTAATGGTCCTTAATAAAACTGTAAACAGCTTAATAATGATAGGTATCTATTAAGGTTTTAATGAATATTTTTTGTATGTTTTATTTTTTACTTTTTGTATTTTGTTATACTAATTACCCATATATAAGTACCATATAGTATCCATAATACTAACAGTATTAACAGGATAGTCGATTTTTTTCATGACATCCTAAGATGGACACGAAAATGCTTATACAGTCTATGGTTGACTTTCATATTCTGTGGTTCGTGTTCTATCTATGATTTTACACTGGGAACTTGTTAATTGTTTGTCAGCCAATTTTCATGTTTTTAAGAGTGATTGTGTAAAATCTAGTAAAAATAACTTAATAAAATGGCTCTGTATTGTGCAAGTAAGTACTCTAAGCACATCATTTTATCAATGCACTTTGACATTCACCATTTTTCGGAAGGCGCGTATCTGTCTCTGCCGGTGGCCGAAATCTATGAATACTATTTTGTGAAACAATTCTATTCAATTATAGATGCTAGGAATAACAAAGATACTATTAGTATTGTACTCCAAGTCCAGCTATTTACGAACAAACCATCGGTGGTTGTAATTATTTATAACCTAATTTTTGTGTTTTTAGTATCTAATGAGGTCCCTGAACAACCTGTGGTGTCTCCATCCTCGGGAGCCGTGTTTGAGAAGCGTGTCATAGAGAAGTATATAATAGAAAATGGAGTGGACCCTATTAATGGCAAGGAACTGCGAGTTGAAGATCTTATTGAGATTAAAAGTGAGTGTGTGTCTACAATTTTAACTATTTCATTGGAAATTTGTTCGGTATAAAACATTAATTTGGCAGTAGTAAAATGCGTAAGGACCGATAATAGTTCGTAAGTGATTCTAAAGAATTACTGGGCCAGTGAGTATCCTTAGGGGTGGAAATTGTATGTATGCAGTCTTTCATTTTCTGTGTTCTATTTTATGAATGTTTAGTACAAAATTATTTAACATTATCAATAATATTAATTATGTGTTTACAAGTAGGCGGTGACTACAAAAGGATTTTATTCTAATTAAATGAAATCATCTGCTTAATTACAATCAATATGCCATACCTACATTATGATACATACATACTAATACTTATGTGATCTTAAATTATGATACATAACAGCACACCTTTTATCCCCAAAGGGATAGGCAGAGGTGCACATTACGGCACTTATTACCACTGTTAAATGTAACACTCACTTTCCACTATTTATGAGTCCCATGGGTGGTGCCTGGTATATTGCCATATACCAGGCACAATTCCAGACTCCATGCTACTACTGAGTATTTTTAAAAACTCAGTAATACTTTGCCCGACCCTGGAATCAAACCCCTTGCCCGACAGTCGCACTTGAGACCACTTGGCCAATGAGGCAGCAAATTATGATACATATTATTAATTTACTTATTTAAGTTGTCAATACACTAAATGCAATGTATGGATGACTGGCATAAGTGAAAAATACTCGTAATTGTTGTTGTAATGGATTTGTGTACTTTCTAACTTAGTAATGTATCTTAAACAGCTCCACCAATAGTGAAACCAAAGCCTCCAAGTGCCACGTCTATCCCCGCTACCTTGAAGAGTATGCAGGATGAGTGGGATGCTCTCATGCTGCATGCCTTCACTCAGCGCCAACAGCTGCAAACTGCTCGACAGGTCAGTGACATGCTTGCAACATTGATTCATAGCACTTTATTTGCTTAAACGCCACCAATATTTTTTTAAGAATACCTATATTGCATTTTGTGTATGTATCTAAAATGAAACTTTATTCTATCCTCATAGGAATTAAGTCACGCTCTCTACCAACACGATGCTGCGTGCCGTGTGATCGCCCGTCTAACCAAGGAAGTGACGGCCGCGAGAGAAGCCCTCGCAACGCTCAAACCACAGGCTGGCATTGTAGCTCCCCAGCCAACTCACCAGGTACGTTTTAAATATGTTCTAAGGCTGTGGTGGCCTAATCCAATCTGCAAAATGGTGTAATCCAACCAAGTTATGGTCCATAATGCTTGTATAATGCAGTATTTGACCTTGAATATCTATGTATGTTTTGAGCGGTAATTATTAGGAATGTTTGGTAACCAGTATTGTAATCAGTATCAATCCCTAAAATTGTTCTGATTATATTATTGTACTTATAACTAATTGTTGATAGGCGGAAGCTGGTGCTGCAGGCGGCGGTGGCGTGGCCCCGGTGGGGATGTCCAGCGAGGTGGTGTCGCGTCTGCAGGAGCGTGCCACCGCGCTCACACAGGAGCGCAAGCGACGCGGCCGCACCGTGCCCGAGGGACTGCTCGCGCCTGACCAGATACGAGCTTTCCTCACCTTGGCATCACATCCCGTGAGTAGGAAATTAAGAATAAGAAATAATTTATTCATAAACCAGTTACAATACAATTATTTTAACACTTTAGTTTTTATGTCACCTCTTGTCATAAAAACTAAACCGTTGAAATAATTTAGTTAAATCTGCTTAACCCTCTGAGTATCATCATTATAGACACAATTAAAGAACAATAGTTGTGCGGACACCGGTGTCCTCGCGGTGTTTGACAGTTTAGGTAAGTTTGTTCTCATAGTGACTGTACTTTGTTCTTCAGGGTCTCCACTCAGCCAGTGTGCCTGGTATCTTGGCTTTGGACATCAACCCATCAGATCACAGCAAACTGCTAACTGGTGGTAATGACAGGAATGCTACTGTGTTTAATAAAGACACTGAGCAAGTGGTGGCCATCCTCAAGGGTCACACCAAGAAGGTCACCCGCGTCATCTATCATCCAGATGAGGATACTGTTATCACTGCCTCACCAGATCACACTATTCGTGTATGGAATGTGCCTACGTAAGTAAACTCTTGATGTGCCTCTACTTGTACATTCATATATGCTTTGTTTTTTTTAGTTTGTTATTTAATCATAAGATTTCGTTTTACTTGAAAGTTTACATGCTGATTATGGCGCAAATATTTAACTACTATGCTAAATTGTTGTTCCCAGGTCTCAAACTACAGTGATCCTGCGGTCCCACGATGGACCTGTGACTGGCTTGTCCCTCCACCCCACTGGCGACTACGTCCTGTCGACATCTACCGACCAGCACTGGGCCTTCTCCGACATCCGCACAGGCACGCTGCTCACTAAGGTCAGCGATTTCTCTGGTGTCAGCCTTACCACGGCGCAGTTTCACCCTGACGGTCTGATTTTTGGTACTGGTACAGAGAATTCTCAAGTTAAGATTTGGGACTTGAAAGAGCAGAGCAATGTGGCTAACTTCCCTGGACACGTGGGACCAGTGACATCCATCTCCTTCTCGGAGAACGGTTATTATCTTGCTACAGCAGCTGAAGACGCGTGTGTTAAGTTGTGGGATTTGAGAAAGCTTAAAAACTTCAAGACTATTCAACTAGAAGAAGGGTATGCCATCAAGGAGTTGTGCTTTGACCAGAGTGGTACTTACCTGGCTATTGCTGGTACAGACGTTAGGGTATACCTGTGCAGACAGTGGCAGGAGTTGAAGGTGTTTAATGACCACACTGCATCCGCCACGGGCGTCAGGTTCGGTAAGAACGCGCAGTACATCGCGTCTACTAGCATGGATAGGACACTCAAATTGTATGGGATAGAGTAGGCTAGTCCAATATTATTTTAATATCTTTGGTGATCGTTTTCGCGGGGCGACTTAGCACTGAAAACTGACTTGTAAAATTAAATAAAATTGTTTCGAAAGTACAGGTTCATGTTTGCCTCAGTTCAACATGTTCATTTATTTCGTAGTAATTAATGAGTCCACCAGAAAAGGTCTCTTACAGTAATCGTTAAGTATATTTTTTTTCAGTATCCCAAATGTTAAGATTGATTTTATGTTGATTTTTTAACTTTTAATATAAGATAATTATTATTTGACTGCTTCTGTTCAACAAGTATTGTAAAACACTAATACTACAGAGACATTTTCCATAATCAAATATAATTAGGTTAGACTTTAGTGAATAAATATAATTGTAAGTATATCCATAAATGAGTGGTTATTAATACAGAACTTGTGAGAAGCTGAGCTGACGGATTGTGGAAATATTTCATTTCTTTATTAATAAAGGGAATGAATGTACATAACATGTTTTATTTCACAAATAAGTGGCCAAAGGTATGTTGCACCAATTTTAAGTAACTTGTGATATAAAGTAAGGACAGTAATACAACTGACTGCTCAAAAAAAACACCCAAAGTCCTAGTCAACTTATCTCTAATTTATCATTAGGCACATAAAACAAAGTTCAGCATCATGTATCTTTATTTTAAAATTTACAATTAAAAACAAACCCTCCCATCACAACGTAATTAGTTTGATATAATAATTATATATACACTTATCATTACAGGAATATTAACATAAAACTACCAATTCATATAATATGCGTCTTTCCGAGTATCCACAACGCCTATGCCAACTATCATACAAAATGTAGTCACATCTCCGTATTAAAATAAAATATAATTTAATTCTTTAAACGACATTCAAAACCTACTGTTTTGTATACATTCAACAGTTATAGTACGAATATAACCAAGGCAGAGTACAAAATACACAGATGGTAAATGTTACGGATTGTGTCTAAGGCAAACTTGTGCAATACGTTTCGCTGCTCCTTAGTGCCTGTACACACGCTCCGGGTGCCTGGCATTCGGCGGCCAAAGTACGTCAAAACGTGTACAAGCTAGCGTACATAGCTATACACTATCCCCGGGTACTAGGTAACCGGAGTGTGTGATGAGGGCCTTAAAGCTTTGTTGTGACAATATTTCACAAGGAGTCGTCGAAGGAACTACTTAACTTAACCCAAACCTTGGAGTCGAGCTCCTAGGGCCTTTCGTTGCGTGCAGGCGGCCTCAGAGCATCTGCGTACTTTGTACACGAGCATACAGCACTGAATATTGCGAGACTAGCCTTAGTAACCTAATCGCGAAACGAGTAAAGATGAAGGCCCCTGTAACATTAACATGGGTTTATATACAAAGTAGCTTACATAGCACTCACTATTACTATAAAAAATTAGACAATCTGCCAACCGCATGTCTTGGACATCAACGAAGCATAATGCTCGATTTTCGATACTATCATCATTGCCTAACATTATATATTTATTATAGTCTTCATGTAGTAAAATAGGACATCTTATTACTGAATGTTAAACACAATTTTTTCTCCATCTATATTACATTATAATAACTTCAATAAATGTGATTTAAATGTCGAGCGGTTACATCGACATAATTTAAGAAATTATTGATATAAGTGCACATAAGGTCGCTATAACGACTCGATTTTAATAAATTAAATGAATACTAACTTTAGCCAGTGTGTTTTTCGTAGGAAATGATTGGTTGTGGTCTGTTCCTACCGTGTGGTTAGCCAACAATAATTTTGTGATTAACTTGTCACATACAAGTGATAAATGTTCAAATATACGATATAAAGTATCGTTGATTAAGTTCATCAAGTTAATCAATAGTCATAATTAGTGCAGTAAGAGTATCGAAGCAGCTGCGGGTAGCTCGGTAATAAAACTAGCAACCAGCAGTGCTCACCAGTAGTGGGCTGGCGAGGGGACTACTAGTCGTGGTGACCGACGCGCGACTATATAGGGCAGTGTAGCAGGTATAGCGTGGACGCGATATGTTTACACTTGTTCACTTCAAATTTTTTATGTTACATATGGTACTGTCTGTTTTTGGTTTAGACAATTTATCTAATGTAGTGAAAAATAGAGGTGGAACAACTTATTCCCTTGTACCCGTAGGTATGACCTATCCATTACAACTACGACGTGTGAATGAGTCCCAAAATCTAGTAAAACTAGAGTTATTACAAGAATGCTTTCAGAAGTGAGGTTTATTTATTTTTAAACATTTAATATTTCAAATTATTATGTTTTCGGCTAAAACATAATAATTTATTTAGTATGTCTCACGAAAGTTACAATACATTTAATATTTCTTCATTATATTCTTATATACAGTATTTCTTCTGCTATACTTACGCACATTTGGCTAATTTTGCAATTTTCATGTCTCATAGTGACTTCCCTCTTTACAGCCTAACAAGAAAAAATATCTTCTAATGAAATAAGTTTTATAAACACAAAAAACGTAGTAAAACAAACTTACATAAATAATGATTTAGTTAAATTGATCGTTTTAAGGAAAGTACTTAAGACCAGCGTTTAAAACTATATATGTAATATATTAGGAACCTTCCAGCATTTGATAATTTAAGCAACTCAACAATATTCCTTAGTCCCAATTTGGTTCCACTATCTGGAACTATGATAAAGTGCTGTATAAGGTTTCATGCACTATACATATGGAGGATAGGGCTTGACTATCTAAAGTTCTATCCTGCTAAACTATAGTTTTCATCAAAGTAAAAGAGACCTAGTAGAGGCGATATCTAGTTCAGTAGCAGATAGTATATATCTTGCTATTATTGTAACTTGAAAGTTTAGCTGATGAAACAGAAAAATCAACACTTGTGACTTTTGTATCGAGACATCAAATTATTCGTAATAAAAGACTTTCATGTATACCACAGAACCTACATTTGTGTAACAACCACTTTTCTATTTTAACGTAGTAACTTTTACGATAGTATTTTCACGAACATACTACACTGGACAATAAACTCGTAGCACGTCGTTAGATTATATCTCAACTGTAATATACAGCCTGTGCGCGATAACTTGGCACCTGCGTGAATGCGGTCTTCTACGAATTATATCGTCCTTAATATCAAAAAAGAAGTAAATAATGTCACTGAGGAAGGCCTATGTTCCCCAGAAACGTTTTTTGGTTGACATGGTGATGAAATATAAAAATAGACTAATAAAATTGATATCACATTGCATCACTAAAGTTTCAAGTTACCGCATACATGTCATACATACTATACCCCAAACCCTTCCACAACATTTTAATTTTTATACACTTGCACCTTTCCAGGAGGTAAATAGTCCACCAGCAATTTAATTTAAAAACTATTAAAGGAAATGGGGAGAATTTGGTTAAGATCGCGACCAAAGTGTAAACATACCGAAGCGCACACTGATGTCAAAGGCAAGTCAGTGAGGATGCAGGACGCGGCCCGTGGGCGGCGGACTCATTTCCGGCGGTCATGCGAAAATCAGCCACAACACAAACAAGATGGCCACCCACAGAAATATCTTCGATAAGAACTGCTCCTCGTCGTACTGGGCAGTGCCGCGGGGTGCTGTACAAACAATATTATCGAATTATTCACTTATCACATATGACACCAACATATGAACTGCTTTTTCTACTACATACCGGCACTGGGTCTTGGATCTCCGAAGTTGAATGTGGATGTAAACACTCCAAACGGAAAGGCGCCTATGCCAAAAGACATGTGGAAGCCCTCGCCAAACCCGAAGCCAGGGAAGCCGCTAGTATTTTCGGGTTCTGTACGCTGTCCCGCCGGCCTCGGTGGTACCTACAGATAGCGTTAATTCATGTCCTCATTGAAAAGGTCGATAATAAAAGGCTAATATAGGACTTCGTCAACTAAGGTTGTCTTTTATAATAGATTGTTTTTATAGATAAGACCACCTATTGTACATTTATGATTAGTTACCATTGATATTTTATTATGTATTATGCATGTATGGTGTAAAATAAAGAGTATTGTTGAAAGAAACTGGCTTGATAGATTTCATTATGAGCAGAATCAAAGATTGCACAATTTTTTTGATGGCTTGCTTCAACTCTTCCAGTTAACATAGTTTTTATAGTAATATGAGTCATTTCATGATTTAATTTAGTAAATGATTGCATACCTTATTCCTAGGGTCCTCCTGTTTAGTGTTGCCCCTGCCATACAGCGGGATAACTTTGTCTCTACTAATGGCTGCTTTGCACACTGGGCACACCTGCCGACTGGGACGTGTCTCTAGCCACTGGTGCAAACATGGCCAACTGGGATCATAGAAAAACATTTTTTTTTTAATAAAAACAAAACTCTTGTCAAAAATAAAAGATCAAGATTAGAAAAATTATATTTTAAAATATTGAATATTTATACATATTACACCTGGTTTAATATAAATTTTCATACATTCATCATAAATAGTGAAAAGTGGGTGTTACATTGTACAGTGGCATAATGTGCATCACTGCCTACCCCTTCGGGGATAAAAGGCGTGATGTTATGTTATTCATCAATTAGAGCCTTCTGAAAAATAAAAACAAAATTCACTTATGCCATAGTCTGGTTATATTAATGTTGAATATTTAAATTGAGAACTAGTTAGAGAGATAGAGAACATCTATGTTTAATTAACTCGTTGAGTACCAAATTAAGTAAAAATCTTTGAGTACTGTCATTCTAGACACAATTAAGAACTTTGGTTTCCGGTTTAAAATATCATTATTATTATCAGGCAGTAGACGTCTAATGCTGTCATGTCATGTCATGTCATTTGGGTTTACTTTAGTGACAGGTATGTCTACATAATATAAGCTAAGGAGTAAATTGTGCACAGATTTGGATATTATTGAATTACAACTCACTAAGTAAAGTCTGAGTGCAATGCATAACATAAAAACTGGTTTCACACTTTATTTTTTTGTTTATGAATGCCAGTATTTGGCTTATTTGATAATTTATACCAAATTAATGTAGCATTGTATTGTTACCTTGAATTTTAAATATTATATTAGGTAATTCTTTGCTTAAAGAAAGTACCAGTACATTATTCAGTCTTCAATCAGTACTTTCATATTTTTGAGTAAAATTATTAGTTTCTTCTAGATATTTATTGAAGTGAAATTAAAACCTACTATTTTTTTATTGGTCTCTCATTGGTTTAGAGGTACAGGATATGATATCAGATACACATTAACAAAATTGTAAACAAGAATGCTTTACCAACATCAACAAACGCTTCCTAACTGTAATTTCCATTTAGAAACTTATTATAATGTAATGAGATTACTTCAAATTAGCATCAGACTTAAAATTCTAAATCAAGAGGTGAATTACCCTAACATTATCACAATAAAGTGAATGAACGCCAAAACATATTCAGTTTACTTTTTGGAATACATTAACATACATTTTTTAATTGTATTTTTAACTTATGGAATGTATGATATGTGAAGGTGTCGTACCAAAACAGGTGGCCACACATGCTGACGACGGCGTCGCGGGCCGTGTCCAAGCAGATGTTGCACTCCAACATACGCTCATCGTGTTTGTCGTCTTCCCCACCAGCGTCACCGCCCGGCGCCGATGCGCTTGCTCGCGCTTCACTCGTCTCGGCCATCGCTCTGTCCAAAAAACACTCCACAATACTGATCACGTCAATTACACATAAATATTCAACAATAAAACCTTATCACTTCAATGACGTCCCAGTGTGACACGACAAAACTTCACAGGCTTTTCTATCAATCAATCTAGAAATGTCTTATTAGAAATTTTAGTAATTAAATCACCTGACACTGTTAAATTTGAACAAATACCCAGCGTTTTCACACAGAAAATTATAAAAATAAATAAATCACATCCCCAATCCCGTGGTTTGATGATCTGTCATTTTATGGTCATAGACTACAGACAACTGTCAAATATTATAGTTTGTGTCAGATTTTATTTAATGACTACGTGGCTAAAATCTTTTTTATGTCTGTAATCTGATGAACTAAGCATATTTTTACCCATAAAAATAATATCATTGTGGTTAAATTAGATTTATAAATTCACATAGAAATCGATTTCATTTGTTTATAAACAAATCTTATCTATGTTTTCTTTAACATTTATGGTTTGACATTTAAGCGTTCCCATTGGCTGTTCTTTGTCTGATCGTAGTAAAGTCGATAAATTTGCACAAGGAAAACAAATGTCAAGATTTCGCCTGTGTGAACTGATTATTGTGTGAAACATTTTGAGATTGATACCATTTTGCCTATGTTTATGGAATTAGGGTTACGGATTGTTTTATGTTAAATTGTGGTTTATTAAAATCACCGATTGAAAAGGCTGGTCCCAAAATATGTTGAAAAACAATTGTGACGTCACAATTCCAATCAGCTGAGGTGTGTGGAGGGAGGGTTGAAGAAGATAGTGCAGCAAAACAAACAAGATGGGTGGTGCAGTGAGCTCAGGGCGTGATAATAATGAGCTGATTGATAACTTGATGGGCAGCAACTACATCCGCACACGGTCCGTGGAGCGGGTGTTCCGTTCGCTCGACCGGGCGGACTACATGACGCCCGAGGCTAGGGATCAAGCGTATAAAGACCTTGCCTGGCGGAATGGGCCGCTCCACATGTCAGCGCCGTGTATTTACAGGTATGTGGCTCTAGCGATGTAGACAAAAATACAAACCTCTATTGACGACTTACGATGTCACTGTAGCCTTCAAAGCTTTCTACAGTAGAATGTGTCAAAATGTTGATATTTTATTGCAGCAAGTTTGAGTGAGTGTCTATTGCATTCTGTAGTACAAGACAAGATCATAAAGTCATTGTTACATTGCATCTTTATGTAAAAGCTTTCTAGAAACTCATTTCACCATACCATACGTATACATACATATGTATGCACAATATGCATTGCATATTGTATACAGCTACCCTAAGAGATTGAGCTGTATCATATTAAAATTTTAAACTGTTGTTTATGTGAACTTATGTCATTTAGTTTTGTATGTAACAATATGATAACTAAGCAGTTACAGATAATATTATTATACATTACACATTAGATAAGTACTGATATATTATACAAGACATACAATTTTGTTTTTTTTTTATTGTACTTTTGTTGCTGGCGGGCTTTCTGCCCAACAGTTGCTTGTTGAGATTTTTTTCGTGTTATATTGCATGTAAACTTCCCATGTGTGATGTAGGATTTTGCACACCATCCATTGATTTGTTTTCATCAATAGTCTATTTGTGTGATGTGTCATGTGTATTGGACATATTTTTTTGATGTGTATTTGTGTAAATACTTATGTATAGTTGTCCTTGTTTTGAGGGTTAATCATCCAATGACTTCTTCTGCATTAAGTCAAGTGAGAGAGACTTTTCTTGACTACAACCCACTCCATTGCTATTTCTGCTAGCAGCCCGTTATTTTGTCAGCAGGGCCATCATGTATAGTTGTGTTTGGTTTGACCTTTTTCAAACAATTCAATTCACTATCAATATTTTTAATAGGTATAATATCACAGATTTGTTTTTTCATTAGACTAGTTATTTGTATCTGATCCCATGCTATGGTTATGACCATAAAATAGTGTATGATTAAAAATATTGAATTTTTATTTTTTTATAAGACACAACAAAAAATATTAAACTGAATAGTCAAAGTCAAAGTCAAAGTCTAAGTCAAAGCATTTATTTCAATTAAACCATAGTTTGGTACTTTTGAAACGTCAACAAATACAAAATAAATAGTAGTCTGTCAGTCAGTCCGTCATTGAAGCTAGGTGAAGCTAGGTGCTCATTCCAAAACGTATGGAATCGATTCGAATGGAGAAGAACGAGCAAGAAACTCCATTAGTTACTCTTTTAAAAAAGTATGTTCTACAATGTCTCTGATACATATTTCAATACTGTACGCATATGTAAGAACAATGTAAATATAAACATCAGTTTGGTTAACAAAATAAATTAAAATATATTAGAAAACCAACTTCTTCATGCGACTTCCTAAGCGCAATTTCATTTTGCCCGGTTCCTTGATTTTTGGTAAAATTAAAAAAGTATTGGATAAAAATATATAGATGGATAGTAATTTCCAGCAGCCTACATAGGTAGGAAAAGAAACTAATGACATTAGTGTATAAAAGATGTAATTCAACTAAATATGTTTCTGGAAAAATATGTCATAAGTTTCTGCTGAAGTAAACAATTGCAATTACTAATACATTTATCTAAGATTTTGCTTTTCCATCTGATCCACATAATCCTTTATGCCACTATTAACATCGCAGGTTTACTTTGTAAAATAGACAAGACAAAATCATGATATTTAATATCATGATTTTGTTCAACCACACTACATGCAAACCGACTTGCAAAACTGAATGTACTGCAAAAAACAGATACAACATAACTAATTGCCACTAATGGTTTTAGAAATAAGACATCAAGTTTTAATTTTTCATACAATCTTATTTGCTTAAATGGAGGAAACAACAATCAGATGAAACAGAAGATTCTGTTTCATCAAAATGTGCATGTATTTATCATAAATTCATGCTGAACAGAACTATTTTCCTAGTATGCAATACCTTCAGTATTTTTCTTTTATTCTTTACATTATTCTCACATGTGTGTACAATATTGGAATATGTATCAGAGCAATGTAAAACAGACTTTTTTTAAAAAGAGTAACAAATGGAGTTTCTTGCTCGTTCTTCTCCACTCGAATCGACATTTTGGAACGAGCGCCTAGCTTCACTGACGGACAGACTGACAGACGATTATATATCTCATATTTGTTGACGTTTCAAAAGTACCAAATTATGGTCTAATTGAAATAAATGCTTTTGAGTTTGAGTTTGAGTTTGAGTTTTGAAGTAACTAATAATATTTTATCAACATAACTGTTATTGATTTCTTACCTTGCCTGTTCTTGTTATTTCTTTTATTGGCACACATTTCATATTTACTTAGTTTCATACCCCATACCCCAACAGAGAGCAGAGCTTCACAATTAAAAATGCGAGTTGTAGAGATTTTTGGTGGTACACTCAGTATCGTAAATTTCGAAAGCTCAAAAAGTAGAATATAGTACCTACATTACCTACATTAAAATAGTAGGTACTTTGATGACGATTGATGTGCAAATGACTACATTAATGCCCACGCACTTGGGACGACCCTATCAACTAAGTAGTAGGTAATATTTCGATGAACTTACTTTCCAGTGAGGTGTTAGAAGGACTTGAGCTAAAGCCGGGGCTTTCGTTCCTGAACATTGGTTCCGGCACTGGTTACTTTAGCACCCTGGTCGGATTGCTCATCGGTTCCAGTGGCGTCAACCACGGAATCGAAGTCCATCCGTACGTCATGGAGTACGCCATCAAGAAACTGGGACAGTTTATCGAGAACTCCCCTACTTTAGATGAGTTCGACTTTTGCGAACCTAGATTTTATTGTGGTAAGTTTAGTATAGATTCAACTTAGTTTTAAATATAAAGATTTTATACCTTTTATACTTTGCAAGGGTAAGCTAGTAATGGTTGTGTTCTTGTCCAGGTAATGGCCTGTGCATCGCCCCACTACAAGCGCCGTACGATCGTTTGTACTGCGGTGCGGGGTGCCCCGAGGAGTATCAAAACTACTTCAAACAACTTATCAAGGTAGACAATTCATATCGTACAGTCCAAATTGATATTATCTAATGTTATAATGTGTATAATGGATAGTTTACACAGGAATTCGTAGAGATTGTTTAGTAAATGATTGATTGAGTAATCGTTCTACTACAATGGGATGTTTGATCTGCCTTTTATTAGACTTGAATTAATCTGGTCTTTCTGCAGTTTAGTAAGGTTACTGCTGGTGTAAGATCTGAGGGCTCACAAGCAACGGACGGCTTCTTGAGTACGATGTGGGTTGTGTAAGAATGTTTCCATGTTATATTTCGTGGAATAAGTGACGGTATGTTTTTATACATAAACAAAATTTTAGTTCAATGGATGTATTGTATTCTGTATTGTGGAACTAATAAATCCTTTGGATATTTTATACATTCGTCCTTTCTTTATAAGTTCAAAACTCTAACGATGAGTGACTTGACACATTAACCGTTTTTATGAATTTAAGTTAATTCCTCTGACATTTGTGTGAAGGTGGGCGGAGTTTTGGTGATGCCCCTGAATGACAACCTGGTACAAATGAAGCGCGTTACGGTAGACCACTGGGTCTCCAGGAACCTGCTCAACGTGTCTTTCGCAACTCTCAGGATACCTACCAAAGAGGAGGCATTAGAGCTCATCAGGCCCGGTAAGACATTAGTAATATGGTCGAAGTAGCTGCGGTAGTAAGAGCCGGTGTGAGTGGTATCGCCCTGTCGCAGACGAGCAGTGCCCGGCGCGGCTGCAGGTGCTGGCGCGCGCCGTGGTGCGCGGCGGCATGCGCGCGGCGCTGCTGGCGCGCCACCCGCACCTGCGCGAGCCGCCGCCGCGCCGCCCGCAGCCCGCCAGCTCCTGTCCGCGCCGCATCTGTATCCCCATCGAGGACGACAGCGACGTCGGTACGTTCTCATACACACACTACAACA